TATATATATATATATATATATAAATGATTTTTTCTTCTTCTAATAATTATTTCAAAATAATCCCATCTAAAACATATTACGTAACTTATTTTTTCTAAATTATCATTCCTTTGAATTTGATATTAAAAGTAAAAAAAACATTGAAATATAATATCTCAATTAAATGAAGAAATATTTTAGAGACGATAATATTAAATAGAATAAAATTAATTAAAATTTATTTATATTTTAAACCAATAAATATGAGATTTTTTTTACTTATATTTAAAATTAGAGGAAATATTTTTTATTATTAAACACATGTTAACAGATGAAAAATGAAATTGTTAAAGATTTCAATTCAACTAATACTATAACTTAATAATGTATACAAGTCCAAAACGATCTTGTTTCATAATCCACCATTATTTTAAGACAAACAAAGGATATTTAACTAAATTTGGTTTGTGACAGGTTCCATTCCCTGCATCATACCCAATTTCGGACAAATTACTCACTCTTCATGCCCATTTATGATTACATTTATGGTACTATGGACAAAACTACAGACACCACATATAATATATCATTGAAAAGAGAAGAAACTTCACCAGATGTGGTACATCTAACACACCTTACAACCCCAGAGTCTATCTATCATCTAAGGTTGGGGTTTGCTTCCTTGGCCTCCAAACCCCAATCTTCTGAATGGTACCTCTATTTGATGTGGCCTTTCACTCTTTGGTCTGTTCTTGTGACTTGGTTTTATGGCCAAACGTTTGTCTTAGAGAGGAATGCTTTCAAAACACTCAATTTGCAATCATGGGTTATACCAAGGTTCCATGTACAAGTAAGACTTGGGTATATAATATAATTTTTCATTTCTAAGGAGGAAAATATTTCTTATAAATAATATTTGTTTTTGTTTCACAATTTTACAGTATCTTTTCAAATGGCAAAGGGAAACATTGAACAAACTTATAGAAGAAGCAATACTTCAGGCTGAGTTGAGCAAAGTTAAGGTTTTAAGTCTAGGTCTTTCAAATCAGGCAAGTCCTTTTTATTTATTTATTTATTTTTTATTTTTATTATTATTATTATTATTATTATTATTAGTATTATTATTATTATTATTATTTACATTATATCATCTCTTTCTTTTTGATACTGAAAAATAATATACGTTATATTATTTTTTTTATTCAATCAGATTTAGGTCTTAAGATGCTAAATAAATTATTTGCATCTCATATCACTAGATCAATTTTAATGATTTTATATTCGGTATATATATACCGATGTAAGTTATTGTTAGAAAACTAAAAAATACTAAGATCTATTATTAAAGAAAGTATAAGGAAGATAAAATATATAACATATTAAAATTTTTCATTGATGCCTCATAAGCTAAAAGGAATACATATTTATAATCTATTAGTATACTAAGATGACCCTACATATATCATCATATATTAGGAAATTAAAAACAATAATAATTTAAATTCGTCCTATAAAATCTTCAAGTCACTTAATTTTCTTTCATGGGTCTCTCTAAGCCCATCCTATATGCATACTTTTATATTCTTAATTAACTTTAATAATTTTTATTGGCTAGTTTCCACTAGTTTGATTGAAGTTCTTATCCTATAAATGATACTTCCAAAAATTTAACCAAAATTATTTGTAATCCTATTCATATAAATCAAATGCTGAAACATGCATGTGTGCGTTAGACGAAAATTTTGATAGTTAATTCTATCCGTAATCTGTATTTCAATATTTCGTTGATTCAATTTCTTTTGTTTGAATTTTATTATTCGAATAGGCTCAATTTTTTTTTTTTTCTGTTGGACATCCATGTATATAAACCACATATGTTTAGCTAGAAATGATAAGCTCTATTTTGCTCTAATCATAATATAGTATATATCAATACACAATTCTTTCATTCCATAACTTTTCTCCCCCTTTCACCCTTTTTCCATTTTTCCAGATAAGTACAAATTTATTAGAAGATGGAGTACAAGGGAAACCTCGCCCATTACTTCATAAATCATAATGTTTTTTTTTTTTTAAATAAAAAGACATAGACAAAAGAAGGTTTGACCATCACTCATAGAAAGACAATCTTGTTTTCAGTTCTATCTTTGATCCTTAGTTAATTCCTAATCTTGACCATTTCTACTACCTCTTTTTATTCATCCGAGAAAAAATAAATTTGATTTCTATATATGTATCCATATAGACCAAATAATGCGAAAACCAAATGAGCTTTCAGATTTCCTTATATATGTTCCTTCTTGTTTAGCATCCCTATATTTTGACCAAAATGTGTGTGGTATAACAAAACATTGTAGAGGTGTATTTGTACTTAACTAAGAGTAACATGATTATCATAACAAATATGATACCTTAAATGAGAAAAATAAGGGGAACAACCATAAAGAAATGGACTACCACATATACTTCAACACAAAGTACAATTCACTTGCTTCTTGTTTTGGTACATCCATGGGCCTATATGTAAAACGAATCCATCAAAAATATGGAAGTATGAACATCCTAAACCCTAAACCCTAAACATATTATTCTCATCTTACCTTTGGGCATGTAGGCTTTTTGGGCTATTAAGTCAAAACTCTCTCTTTGTAAATATGGGTGACACCCCTAGTGCCCAAATATTAATATATTTTATTTGTTGTTTCAAAAAAAAAAAAACTTGCTTCTTGTCTCTTCTTCAACATAATTACTTGACATCCTTTCGAAACTCCTTTTCAATTCCATTTAATCTGTTATTTCCCAAGATATATATGTTTAGGGAGATGCTTGATGAGAACAGATGTTAATGCTATTAATATTTAAATAGTTGGTTAATTCAGTTTATTTAGTTTTATCATTCAATTAGGTTGAATCTATTTATTTAGGGTTCGTCATGTAAACCATGCATGCTCATTTAAAAATATGTTCAATTTTGCTTTGCTCATAATAGTATGCTTAAAACAATTTTTTTTTTAAGAAAGCATTGTTCAATGATTGCAGGGAGATTCACTCAATAAATATGGTGAACTTTACTTGAAAAGATACCCCGAACTTAAAATAAAGATCGTGGACGGCAGTAGCTTAGTTGTGGCCATTGTTCTTAACAATATTCCCAAAGAAGCAAGCCAAGTGCTTCTTTGTGGCAAACCTAATAAGATTTCATATGCCATTGTGAGTGCTTTATGTGAAAGGGGTACAAAGGTATGTTACTTTTATTTAGGGAATTTGTTTCAATAAAAAAATGAATGTGCAATGCCATGTTTTTATTCACTAAGACTAATCTTTTAAAAAAAATTAATTTAAAAATATTCATGAAATAGATGAAATTTCAATAGTATGACTCTATGAGAATGCGAGATTTACTTGCTACATTTGTGTCCTTGGTAAATGTTTCAATTTTTAGGTTACAACTATGTATAAGGATCAATATGACAATCTTCAATTAAGGCTCTCCACTAAGTCCAAAAAGAATTTGGTTTTCCCAGGATCCTATACTGCAAAGGTAAATCCCTCTAACCATTTAATAATACACCTCTTCATTCCATTTGAAAATTTCAATTTGAATTTCAATAATAATAATAATGATAATAATAACAATAATATGCTTTTTGGAGTAAAAACTGAAAAGAAAACATCACCGAAATCATGTGGGTTCATTTGAATTTGCAGATATGGCTAGTGGGAGACCAATGTAACGAGGCTGAACAAAAGAAAGCACCAAAAGGATCACTGTTCATACCCATTTCCCAATTCCCTCCAAAGAAACTTCGCAAAGACTGCTTCTACCACAGCACACCAGCAATGATAGCTCCCCCTTCTTTAATGAATGTGGACTCTTGTGAGGTAAGCAAACACACTTTCATTTATCTTTTTTTTTTTTTCCTCTATCAATAAAAAATGATAGATAGGAGATGACACATACAAGAGTACCAGGTAAGAAATCAATGATATACTAAGAATTCTTAGATTAAACACTATTACTCACTTAGTAATTAATTGAAACTTAGTAGTATCTAATTTGACTTCGAATTTTATTTATCGAAGTAAAAGTTAGAAAAACCCCTTCATCTCTAGAACCAAGATATTTCTTTGAGTAAGTACTATACCCATCAAAGTAGAATTTTAATGATATCAGGGAGTCTCAAACCTGCATCACGAGAAACACAAACTATCATATCTTATATAATTTGTGGTAATTTAGAATGGTCACTTTCATTTATCTTAGTATAATGGATAATAAATTTGAATTTAACATCTTATACAAATTAACTACTCAACTTCCACCGTTAGGCTGATTTTAGTATGTTAAATACACATTCATTTAATTGTTTTCGTTTCATGCATTTTGGTGCCAAAATTATTTCATTAATAATGAATTTCAATATGCAACAGAACTGGCTTCCAAGAAGAGTGATGAGTGCATGGAGAGTCGCTGGAATATTGCATGCCTTAGAAGGTTGGAACGTTAATGAGTGCGGAAATGTCATGTTTAGCGTTGAGAAAATATGGCAAGCAAGTCTTCAGCATGGGTTTAGGCCACTCAAGATTAATCCCCTTTCTTCAATTCTAAATTAATTAGCATTATATAATTCTATATCAGTGTGTGTTTATATATACATATGTCAACGGTTGATCAACTACCTTATGATATTTCCAAATGAAATATGAATTCTATCAAACTATATAGCTTATGTAACATTATGACATACCATATAGCTTATGTAATATTATAGCATACCTCTACATTGTGTCTCATGGTACATGTTGTGTAATAGAAAGTATGTTTAAATGGTGTAGAAATGGTCCTTTCGAAAATGGATTACTTTTAGGAGTGGAGGGGAATATATATTTGCTAATATATTTTCTCTTGTTCGTTTCATTTTTTTTCCCAAAGAATACATTAGCTAATTTAGATTTGTTAAATTTGATACATAAAACAAGCTTTTTAATTTGCACTTTAAAAGTTCATAAATACAGGCATAAATCGGTCTTTACAAAGCTCAAGATAAACAAAATATGATAAAAAAAATTGTAAGTTCAAATCATAAAAAAATAACATAATATTCTCTAGTTTTAATGTCACATTATTAGAGCAAGACCCATAAACCAAACCGAAACATTAAAGCTTCTTCTCTCTCATGCTCAGCCTCATACACTTGATAAGCTCTTGCATGACATTTAGTTCAAATAAGAAAACCAACAAAAGCAAATACAAGAGGAGAGAACATATCTCACACATGTATAACACTTATAAAGCTTATGGATAACATAGCAAACACATCACACAACAACAACTCATATCAATAATAATCATCCAATCCTCAATAACTATAACACTTCATATCAACACGTGAAACTAAAATATTGTTGAATCCTACCTAAATATGCTAAATAAGGACAAATTCTTAGTTTCAAATTTGAGAAAATAAGAGTTACCATTTGTTTGCTAATAAGTTTGTTCAACTTTTTTCGCAAAATTAAGATCGATCAAAAGGCTTGTCAGAACCCGAAAAAATTCCAACGCGGTCTCTCGACCAACAGATGGTTTGAACCTTCGTTTGAAAAATCTCATCAGTTTCAGATTGCCCGAAGACCGGACTAATCTTCCAACTAATGGTTTTGAAAATGGTTAGAAGGAGTCACCACCAATATTTTACACAAAACATCAGAAAAAGAAATTTTTTTCGCAAATTCAACTTTGGCTTTCACAGCCAAAGTCAGGTTTAGGGGTCAATTACGCGTGAGGAAGGTGTTAACCACCCCACAATGCTGAATTCAATATCCTATGACAATTCCAACATTAAAACAATATAATTGAACTTTTACCCTTTTTATTTATTAAACATACGTGGCTATTTATTCCTGCATTATTCCTATTTTACTATGTTTTGCCTTAACGTCTACATGATGACTATCATAAGCATACAATTAAAGTAGTAAGTAAGGAAAAAAGAATGGAACCTCCAAAGCAATCTTTTAATATTATCTTCTCGAAAAAAAGTTAGGGGCACTTTTTGACAACCTCCTTACTCTACAAGAACCTCTCAATCGCTTAAGAAAGACTCTTAAACTATAGAAACTCCAAAATCTCTGCCAAAGGGACCAAAGATCTCTTAATCAGGCTCTTAATGAGTTTATTTTACTCAGAGTGCTCTAAAGGGAGTCAAGGAGGGATCTAGAATTGTAGACATCCAATTTCTTCAGGGGTACCCAAACCAAGGACAAAGGTCTAATAAAGTGAGACAAACAACCCTTGAGGTCCCAACGTGTTGGGAAACCTTTTTGTTATGATAATATTTCTCGTTACAGACCTAATTTTGACGATCCAACCATTGAGTTTAGAGATCAATGTATTGAGAATATATCATCGAAATTGCATCATGATCCAACGGTTAAAGAATTCTCTAGAGTTCTTACATTGCAGCTGGAAAAAGTAGTACGTACGGTCCCTAAGGGCCCAATAGAGTACCTAAACAGACCAAGATAGCTTCAGAAGGCCCATAAAACTCAAAAAAATAGACCTAGGGCATGGAACTGCTGTTCCCAAATTAGAACAGGTCGTTCCCAATGTTGGAACAACCCGTTTAAAAAATGGAACGTCCTGTTCCCCTTTCTAGAAAATTTTGCACTAGGCAGCATTTTTGTTCTGATAATACCTATTGCTAAAGACCTAATTTTGTTGATCCGACCGTTGAAGTTAAAGATCAATGTATTAAGAAAATATTATCAAATTTTCAACATGATCCAATGGTTAATCAATTCTCTAGACGCCTGTCCTATATGTCTCAATTATCCCTCCTTTCCAAGTGTAATGGCTTGAAAATGGATTAGCTTCACCAAGGCTTAACAACCATCATGAGAATGTGGAGTCCAATAAAATAAAAAATAAAAATTCACAATTAGAAGAGGCTAAACTCAAGCAAGAATTATTGTAACAAACTCAAAGAGAGCCAAGAAAGACACAAAGCAACAATTAAAGGCTAATTTCAACACTAGCACTCAAAGGAATAATCCTAGGAATGGCTCTAGAGTTGATTACAAAATCAAAACAAAATTTGTGCTATTATTGTGAGTAATTAGAGATGTTTTCCCAACCACTGGACAACAAGTAAACCTCAAGAAAAATAACACAAAAATTTCAAGGCCGAGTGCTCTTAATACTTCTTTATTTTTCACTTTTTTTTTCTAGCTTTTGCTTTTGTTTTTTTTTTTCCTTTTGTTGTTTTCTTGACTCTTTTTTTAATACTGAATATGAGTACTTAATGAAGTTAGCATAAAAACACAAAGAAGGGGGGGTTGAATGTCTGTGTGTGAGAACGAAGGAATTTTAAAATCGTTTTCACAAAGAGACTCTTTTCTGTCTAAAAACAATATTATCTAGAACACTTGAAAACTGTGCAAGGTTGGCTCAATAATATATTTTTTGTCTGAAGGTTTATCGTCTGCATAAGAAAATTGTTTCTTGAAATGGAAAATGTTCTTTAAGGTATTAAGTTGCACAAGTATATTTTTTGTCTGAAGATAGTTGTAGGCAAAAATAATTAGTGGACGAAATTTTTAGTATGATATAACAGCTAAATAAAATTGTTCTAAAAATAAGTAAAGAATGCAAAGAGTTTTATACTGGTTCGTTCGACCTGAGCTACATCCAGTTTCCTTCAACTGAAGGGTTTCACTAATCACAACGGATTACAAGTATTATCAATCACTTCTGGTTCGTGAACTTCACTCGTCGACACTAATATTCTTAAACCACTTCTGGTTCCCCAAGTATTATCAACCACTTCTGGTTCGTCAACTTCACTTGTCGACGCTAGTATTCTTAAACCACTTCTGGTTCACCGAGTATTCTCAACCACTCCTAGTTTTCCAAGTATTCTTTCAAATAGTCTCTCCAGGCTTTACAATAGATGAATGATTTGAGTGTGTATAACTCTCACAGAGAGGATAGGATGATTTCTACACTCACTAAGGTATTCAACCTTAGTTTTACAAAGATGTGTATTTTGAGTGTGTGTGTGTGTGTATTACTCTCACAAAGATGATAGGATAATTTCAACACTCACTAAGATAAACTATCTTTGCTTTGACGTTTATTTTTGCTTATTGCTCGTTGCTTATCTTCTCTACCCTTCTCTTGTTTTGTCTTATATTTATAGTCTTATGATAAATTTGCCCGTTGTTTGAATTTGAAAGTGTTCGTTGGAGTGGAGCTTCCCGTTGGTGCAGATAGCAGTTCGTTCATGGCTATGTGGATCTTTTCATTTAATGCATTTGATCTTGCATTAAATGTTTGCTTGCCGAATCTGTGTTATGTGAAGTCTTTTGCGTAATTTGTTGACTTTTATGTCTGACTTCAATCATAACCTAGGTATATATGTTCTCTTTCCGTCATTGTATTTGCTCTTTTTTTTTTGTAAAGTAGGTGTACTTGATCTAACACACGCAACTGTGACTTGTGGATTCGCGCTTGCCAATTTTTCTTCTTTCTTTTGGCAATATTGATGACTTTGTGTGCTCTTCTTATGAGTGTAGATGATATATGATATCTCTTGTTGTGAATAGTTAACTTCAGATGCTTTTCAATATTCTTCGTCTGCATCTAGAATTTAAGTCTTCATCTGAGAGGTAGACTTTGACTTTTCCTTTCATCTGTTTTGACTCTTCCTTTCGTCTGGTCAGTTGTGAGGATGGAATACTTTAATTCCTTCTGGAATGTTTCTCCGTCTTGTGTTATCCATCGTTTGATACTTTTTTTGACCTTTGATTAGTAGTGCATTAAGGTTCATCTGACGTCTGTACGGACTTCATCCGGTTCTTGACCAACTTTTATCTTGTTCTTGACTTAGCCTTGTTTGATACTTGGTTTGGCCTTTCGTTTGATACTTCAAGACTTCAACTGCTAGTACGCTTCGTCTTGTATCTGGCTTTTGATTAGGTTTTAGTCTTGATGTCTGATTAACCATCGTCTGATGTTTTGTGCAGCTCAACTAGGCATGGTATGTGCAATAACGCGGACTCTATTTTTTAGTTTGTTCTTATATTTATCTGAAACACTAACACATATGTTAGAAATAACAATATGCATTATATTTGTCATGTTCAAAACCTTGTTGGGGATTTCTTCGTCCGACTTAACACTTAAAAAAAAAGGCCAAACAATTATAAAAGAGGTTTCCAAGTGGTGGAGAAAAGAAGAGTAAGAAGTGTAAGTGTACAAGTCAAAATTCAATCACAAGAGTTACTAGTTTTTCTATTACTTTAAAGAATTTAAAGATTTTTGAGATATGAAATTTCAATTGCAGTACCAACTCTGATATTTATTCTTGTAATTGAAATTGACTAAAAAGAAGGTAATATAAAATCAACCTTGGTTACAAGTGATTGTTTCACTGTATTAACATTGATATTCTGATACATTGGTAATAAATCTTGTAATCTACTGTTCTTTGTTAAAACAAATTGAGTAAAGGCTGAATTTTAGATATCTTGATAGGTCTTTATCAAGAATTTCAGGAAAAGAGAGTCATCTTAGGATAGAATCTATTCAACTCGCCCTTCTAGATTCTTGTAAACTGGGACCAATGAAAACTAGATGACGCTGAATTCAAATTAAAAGAAAACAACAGATCAACAATGGATGCCACAACATTTGGAACTTTCAACTCATCCAACATATAGAGTCCCCCTTGTTTACGGCATGTACCAATTAGACTCCCAGATTGTGGATCTTGTGCATAACATTTAGTGGAAGAGAACAAAATTGAATAACCAAAATCACATAATTGACCAACAGAAACAAGATTCAAAGTGAGACTAGGATTGTAATAAACATTTGAAAGTATCAAATTAGGTGTGGACACAGATCCAGTGCCTGCTAATGGCATTGGTGTGCCATCAGTAGTCATGACGGGTATAGATTACATAGTATTTAAAGACACAAAACACTTAGGATCATATGATAGGTGGTGAGATGCTCCAGAATCAAGAATCCATATTGGTGAAGACATGTTTGATGAACTAGAGGAATACAAACCTTTTACAAAGGAGGCAGACAAGACATGTGATTGAGTAGTAAGAAATTTTTGGAACTGTTCTGCAAGATCAACAACTTGAGAAGTGATTTCAGTAGCGGAAGTAGGTGGAGCATTAGTAACAACATATGACGATGGAGCTTTAAAGTTTCTTTGGTTTGACTGATAAGAAGGAGGATGCCATTGAGTTTGTTGTTGAGGCTTCAATAATTTTGGACATGCCGCAACCCAAAAATTTTCGATCTTGCGACCTATGGTTTGGACATCCAATTGAAAATCTCATCAATTAAGGAACGCCCGGATACTAGACTAATCCTTAACTAATGATTTTTGAAAATGAGTTCATGGAGTTGCCACCAATGTTTTACTCAAAACATTGGAAAAAGAAAAAGGTTTTAAAAATCAATAATGGTCTTGACAACTAAAATTGGGTTTGGGAGTTGGCTACGTGTAAAGGTATTAAGCACCCCTACAACGCCCTTAATCAGTACTGTTAGAAAAGAATGACTCAATCCAAGAGGGGGGGTGAATTGGATTCTATGACACTTTAAATTTTTTTAGAGTATTTAGGATCTTTATTTCAATTAAACTTTTTCTAAAAATGAATTTTTAATGAAGTTTCTTAAAGACTTGTTATAGAAGAATGAAACCTATATGTTTTCTTGATTACCCAATAATGAGGTTCAAAGTTAACACCAATATGTAATGCTTTAATTCAGTTTAAACCAACATTATTCATGCATACATGTTAATCAAGAACAATCTTCTTTAATGCACAATCAAGATATTACACAAAGTAAAAGATAAGGGTAAGAGAAGATTGCACAAGTCTTTTATCCTGGTTCAGCCACTCCACATATGACCTACATCCAGTCCTCAATCACAACCTGATCAAGATTTGTTCCACTATCTTAATGAAGAAGGTTTACAAGCATACCACACATGCATATGTTCCTACATTCAAGATAACCACTTTCTTGACCCCAAGAAAGCACCCCTTGTAGAAACCCACTACAAGAATTCTTTACCACTTGAGAAACCCTCTCAAGATTTACAAGTATTCACAAATATTAATCTTTTCCCTTTCAAGAATGTGATGATGATGATGATCCTTTCAAAGTTTTTCACAAATATTTTTCTTCTTAGATTCACAAAGAAAACTCTCTAAGATTGTCACAAAGACTTCACAAAAACGTTTTTCTAATTTTGATTCTCAATTCTAACTCTGTTCTGAAGTTTCAAAAAGTTCAAACTATTTATAAAAGTTTCAGAACCAGATAATTGATTATTTTAAAGAATAATCGATTATTTTGTTCTTCATGATTTCTGGAAATCAACCAAGAACAATTTAATCGATTATTTTGCTGGATAATCGATTATTCCAGAGAGTCATTTCTGGGATAATCGATTATTTCACAAATAATCGATTATTGCAGCAAGGCATCCCATTTTGCCTGTTACTGGAATAATCGATTATATTTAATGATAATCGATTATTTTGAGTTAGTTTTCAAAATTTTGTTTTAAGTCTCAAAATAACTTCTTAACCTTTAAACTCATCATCATACACTCCCTAATCAGATTAGATATAGATTTAGCTTATGCACACAACACACACAAAAGATAAACTCAATCAAAACAATTTTATAAACTATTTCCTATTACATAGCACTTTCTTTTGACTTTGTTTTTGACTTCTAAGTTGTTGTTGTCCTCAGCACATATTTGTTATCATCAAAACTCTTCAAACGTCAGAGGTGATCTCATCAAGCTCAGGCTCCCCCAATCTCAACAAGTATCCTATGATGAAGTTAGCATTATGAAAAATAATAATATAAATATTGAATCCCCTTTTATTGATGACTATTTACATGCTTAATTTTAAATTATCCTATTGACCCAAAAATGTTTACATGATTGCTTTTATTATAACAATGTCTATTAAGGATGAGAAATAAAAGAAATAGAAGAAGATTGATTGAAATACCTCATAGCAAGCTTTGCTAGATCTTCAAATATGAAAATTATAGGTGCTTTGTTGCAACCTTTCACTCTACAACTGCCTCACAGAATCTCAAGAAATACCCTAAGAGGAAGAGAGAGAATTTTCAAGCTATAAGGAGTTTTGAATGAAATTTTCTAGCCTTGAGAACTGTGCCTAAGTTTTCTATTTATAGACATCAGAAGTTACTAGAACAGGTCGTTCCAGATTTGGAACGGTCCATTTTGGATCTATACGTTATGTGTTAATTTTTCATCTTGGAACAGTCCGTTCTGAAACCAGAATGGCCCGTTCTACATTTGAGTTTTAACACATAACTGCCATGTTGGAATAGCCTTTTCTAAACTAGGGTTTTAGGTCTTTTTAGTAACTTTGAACGACCGTTCCAGTTTAGGAACAACTTGTTCCGAGATGGGAACGCCCCGTTCCGATTTTGGAACAGCCCCTTCTAGGCTACTAAAACCAGCTTGTTTGGGCTTTAAGCTTCCTTGTTGTCATATGGTGTTGCCTCCATACTTTGGGAGCTCCAAATTTAATAGTAGACGTCCATTTCATTGCTTTTATTGGTCCGAACGAAATTGGGTGTCTATAGGACATTGTGCTTTCCAGTGACCTTTCTTCTTACAATAGCTACATTCATCATAACCAACCTTTCCCTGAGACTTACTTTTATTAAATGGAGCAGCAAATACTGATAGGGGAGTAGAGAGAATTCCTTTGTCAGAACAAGAGTTTGACTTCAATCGTATTTCTTTTGCCAACAACTCCTTAACCACCGCATCAACACTAGGAAGGGGAGAACGATGTTAAATTGTTCCATGAAGTCCCTCAAAATCATCATGTAGTGCCATCAAAAATTGAACCAAACATTTTTTTTTTTTCGAAAGTTGGTATATACTTGAAGTCCTTGCAAATCAAAACCGTAGTGCCGAAACAGAGGTAATATAAAGAACCACAATAAAACTTTGTTGCGAATGCAAAAGAGAGGCAAAACCCTAAACTTCACGAATTGGATCGCATCACAAATGCAAAATGCTTCAGGTATTTCCATTCACGAACTCTTGATACTATGATAACAATCATTCAAACACGCACACATGCACAAAAAAGAACAAACATAGAGTAGAAGAAAGGAGAGTAGGATTTTATTGAGAACAATAATATTATCTCACAAATCATATAATAGACAAAAGTACAAAAATAAAATGTATAGATAAAAACATAAAGACTAAAATACCCTCCACTAATATATAATAATAATATCTGAGAATACTCGTGGTCATCTCTTCCAAATCAAAGTTTAGTGGGGCCACTATGAAAAGAAAAAAAATGTGTAAATTGTTATATATTCATTAATTGTTGGATCACATTTTCTTTGTAACGTATCTAAATTGAATTAAGTAAGTAAACTCATAATAAACGTGGTTGTTTGGTGGTCAGGTACGTTTATGTTGGTTGGGAATTAAATGCATCATTAAGGGATCCAATGTGGAAGTGAGGTCTATAAATAAATTTACACAAACAATTCTTCCAAGCAGAGAGACACTTTCCATCGTAGCAAAAGACATTTTCTCAAATATAGATTGTGTTTATGGCTTCCACACCGGGAATCCTCACGGACTGGCCATGGAAGCCTTTCGGAAACTTTAAGGTTATTTGCCTATCCTCCCTTTCTTATTACATCTAATCTTTATATCTCTCTTAATTCTTAATAAGCATCTTAACATTCCAAGACCTACTAATCATTTGCACATCCTAAATAAGATTAAAAAAATGTAACCAAGAAATTAATGATAAACTCGACCAAAATTCACGAAACATTAACAAAACTTAAACAAAGGCAATTAAGATTAATTGCGAAAGAAGTTTGTCGTATCTCTCTCTATTAACAATATTTGTTGCTTTTGATTTAAGTAAACTACTATTTTGATAAGAGTGTAATGTATATATCAACATGTCATTAGTTTGATTAGTACTAATACTTATTCTCTTAAGAAAAGTTGTGTTTAAATTTTGTCAATGAAAAAATTCTAAGTAAGAAAAGAGATTCTATTAAAAATAACTAATCAAATAATCCAATAAAAGTTAATTATCAACAAAATTGGTAAATGTTTAAAACTAATAATTAACACAAAATATAAATAAAAAAGTATGATACACTGTTTTGAAGCTAAATAACTTTGTATGAAATTTCCCCATATTATATATATATAATTGCTTAAATTTAACCACTTGCTACATTATATCATTATTTATATCATATATTTTTGTTTTTTTTTAATTTTAAATAAGTGTGAATGATAGATTATATTTTCATTGACTTATTTAAAATTTAGTTTCAAGTATTAATGTCACGGTGTTATAAACCTTTTTATAACATGAATGTGATACATTGTTCTCGTACGTTGGATAACTTTTGATGTCAAACGCCCCATTAACATTATCAGTTTTTTTTCCCTCATTCTTCCTATCAAATCATATAATATATTATACTAATATTTTTATATTATCTTTTTTCATTGGAATTGAATAGGTTGTTTTGGTTGTTCAAAAATCATTTTTGGCAAAATAATATGTGCATGCATGATGCATGAAAAAGTCTTCCCGTGGTTTTAGGCACGTGCAAAACGTTTTATGTATACCTTTGATTTATTTTAAACAAATCGTGATGATAACTCATTAAAAACAAGGATAAATTGTGCATTTTATTAGAGCGAAATATGTCTCTTCAAAGGAATTTTTGCATTTCGAGAATCTTGACACTTAGCATATACGCCCAAGTAAGAATTTTATTAATATACGCCCAAGTAAGAATTTTATTAATTAGAGATAATCACTTATACACTGTTAGTGTAAAGTTTTTTTATACTGATAACTAATTATGTCTCTTAATTGTGTCATGTCACTGTAAATACATTTACTTTTAACAGTGACATGATACAATTAAGAGATATAATTAGTTATCAATGTACAAAAAACTTTACACTGACAGTATATAGGTGATTAACTCTATTAATTAATAGATCTAATTGCACCAATCAACGACACAGTTCCAATGACAAAGATATAGTAATTAAGTGATTGCTTAATGTAGAGAGTAAAATAAATAATTTTTAAAGTTGACGATAAAATTAAAAGTTAATTAATATTACATGCATATAAATATATTTAACTTTTATATTATTATTAATACTACTTACTTTTACTCTTACTCATTTTAAATGAGTTAAATCTAAAACTAGCCATGCATATTAGAAACATATCCTTTGTAAATTGAAATAAATAAATTTATAATTGTGACAAAATATATTGGTTTAGATTTTTTTAAAAAGAGAATAAGTCAAGTCAAGTCAAACATACTTTCATTTTAATTTACTCCTATATATATTTTAAGAAGACGTTTGATATGTAGAATATTTTTACAATTTTAAAAATCATGATTCGCAAGATTTGTAATCCATAGAAATCATGATTGCCGGATATTAAAAAGTTTTTTCCTTACCAAACACTTGCTAAAATAATCGTATATAGACTTTTATTATTTCTCTCTTTTAACACTTTATAAAATAAGTTATAAACAAAAAAATAAATGCATTTAATATCTTATAAATATTTTTTTTAACAGGTAGAAAGATTTATAGGAAAACACACAGAAAAGATGTTGTGATAGTAGTATTTGAAATTATTCTTAAGTACTTATTATATTTTTTTTTTTTGTTTTGTTGGCTAACATATTAATGGTGTGATTAATTTTGTAGTACGTGGTAGTTGCTCCTTTTGTTATTCATAGCTGGTACGCAATGTTGGTGAAGGATGAGAGTGAAAGGGACATAACCAACTTTCTCATACTACCATTTTTGTTGTGGCGTATGCTTCACAATCAAATATGGATCTCTGTCTCTCGCTACCGAACAGCCAAAGGCAATGCTAGAATTGTTGACAAAGGAATTGAGTTTGATCAAGTTGACAGAGAAAGAAATTGGTTAGTATCTATGCTTAAAATGACAACTCAAATTAAGTCTCAAACTTACCCTTTTCCCATTTAGTTGAGTTGTTTGTTTTACTTTTTGTTTCGATCTTCCAGGGATGACCAAATATTATTCAATGGGTTATTACACTACATGGCAAACTATATATTTCCAGGGGCATCACGTTTTCCATTATGGAGAACAGATGGAGTGATTATGACAATACTACTTCATATGGGACCAGTGGAATTTCTGTATTACTGGTTACATAGGGCACTTCATCACCACTTCCTATACTCTCGATATCATTCTCATCACCATTCTTCAATTGTCACAGAACCCATTACTTGTAAGTATTGTCATATTAATTATCGCCCTTTGAATTTGTGACACATTTCAACATCATCTTTTTTGTGATATTTAATATTATTTTTTAATAGTCAAAAAATATTTTACTTGAATTTTCACATTACCTATTGTATGTACGAGAAAAATGTATGATTTTTTGTAATATTTTTTTAATTAAAATTTAATATTTGTTTTACCTTTGTAACTAAAAATTTAAGAAAAGATTTCTAACTTATAATATACTTTTTAATGATTTTATCTCTAGTTGATGTGAGACTTGTAAGATTATACTCTTAAATTTTCTTACTTTTAGTCAATGTAGGACTTAAGTTTTTGTCAATACTCCCCCTCAAGTCTAGTATTATTGAGCTTGACACATGAGTAAATGATAAGTAATATGATACTATCTTAGAATAGTGAATTATATAAGTATAACTCAACTCTACAAAACTAGTTTATAAGGTGAGGATCGTCTTTATTTATATACTTTTTAATTATTTTATCTCTAGTCAATGCATGTGAGATTAAACTTTTTCTATTAAAATGAATTAAAAGTACTCTTACTTTTTTACCGATCATTTTCAATAATTATCCTTATAAATATATATTTAGTGACTATTATTATTAGGCATTAATATTTTTATTAGATAATAAAATAGAGACAATTAATTTATTATTATTAAATAATTATCATTTATAATAAATTTTTGCATAGCATAAATGTATTTTTAGTAACTATTATTATACTATTAATATTTTCATTAGATAATAAAATAGAGGTAATAATTAGTTTATTGTAATCTAATAATTATTGTTAATAGTAACTTTTTTTAAAATACAAGAACTAAAAAAATAATTTTAAATTTGAGAGATGAGAAACAACTTTAGCTCTTATTTAAGGGACTAAAAACATTGGGGAAAACATCATCATTATGTTCTGGGAGTACATGTTGCCGACACTTTTGCCCCTAAAAGTAAGAAAATTATGAATTAGTCATTGAAAGTTTTTTTTCATTTCATTTAAGTCCATAAAAACAACTTATTGTCAATTTAATCCCTAAATATACTTTAATATTACTATTTTAGTCACATATTTTTTTTTTAAAATTTTGGACTGAAGTGAATAACGTTATAAACATTCAAGGCTTTTTTTTTTAAGTTTTATATTTTTAATGAGTGTCATCGATATATATATTTTTAAATAAGGACTCAAACAACATTTTACCAAAAAAGATATTTAAACCATAATTTATTTATATATATAAAAGTGATATATTTTTAGTACATCAAATATTAAAATAAGGTATCATTTTATTAGTGTTGACTCACAATCTCTATATAAATCAATTAATTTCATTAGAAAAGTAATTTTTATCTTAATATTTAAAATTTTTGTATACCAAGAATTATATATCTGAAAACAATTACATTTTTTAGTACATCAAATATTAAAATAGGGTATCATTTTATTAGTACTGTTGACTCAAGATCTCTATATAAATCATTTAATTTTATTAGAAAAATAATTTTTATCTTAATATTTAAAATTTTTGTATACCAAGAATCATATATCTGAAAACAAGTACATTTTTCAAAATAAATATTTATTTTAAAATATAAAAGAATATTTTTCTAAATAGATTAACCAAAATTGGTGGATAAAATAGAGTTGAGGAGTGCCATGCGAATAATTTTCAAAACTTTGTTAGTTTTATATTTTTTATGTCCAAAACAAAATTTTAATTCTCATGTCATTTATTACCATCTAAATTCTAAGATTTTAACACTTTGTTTTTCTTGGTGCAGCTGTTACCCATCCATTTGCTGAGCACATATTATATTTTCTTCTTTTTGCAATTGCTTTGTTAATCCCTGTCTTTACAAAAACGACCTCTATGTTGGCCGTGTTTGGATATGTGACATACATTGATTTTATGAACAATATGGGTCATTGCAATTTTGAGATTGTTCCAACGTGGCTCTTTCGCATATTTCCTCCTCTCAAGTACCTCATCTACACCCCATCGTAAGTATTTACTCTCTCTCTAAGAAACATACCATGTCAAACACAATAGCACAAAAGAAGTGAATTTCAATTATATAATAAAAAATGAGAGATAAGATTAAAATTATTTAAAGCAATCATAATAATTCATATGTTATGATTAATATTTAGGTCACTTTTAGAATAATTTATTAACAATTTATTTATAATTATTTTATGGAATTAGCACTTGTTTACATGTTTAAAATAACTTATGATATGTTTATGAATTATTTTTATCTTATTTCAATAAGTTTTACATAAAGACTTATGATAAATAACTTACGACTTATATTAAAATAGATTTAACATATTTTCACTTTAACTATAATAAACAACATATACATAAGTGCTTACATAATAAATAATTACTTAAAAAAGAAATAATTATTAATTACTTAAAAAAGACATGTGACATTTTTTAAAAATTCACATGACTCGTTTATTTAATTTTGTCTATTCATTATTTTATCTAATTAATCTCTCACAATAAAGGCTCTCTCATAGATATTCCATGCTACACATTTAAAGGACATTTTTAATTAAAAAAATGAAAACTTTCTATGGTAACTCTTGGATAACAATTAAAAAAAAATTGTGATATAAATTTAAACATAATTATAAACACTACTTTTTATAAGATTATTAATGTTATTAGTATTGTTGTCATCTCTATTTTAGTTATCATTGTCATCACCACAATGTCACATGGATAGTAGTGGAGGATGATGATGGTGACTATAGAGGCGACAACAAATAATAGTTTCACAAGATGTGTATATAACTGAATTTTAATTTCAACACAATTTTTTTAAGTGTAATCTAATGCATGATTATCTTAATTTGAAAATTCATTTATTTTTATTATTTTTTTAATTAAGTGTTACTCTCACACACATATTAGGTGTGGATTTATTTTGTTTTTGTGATAAATAAGAACATTTAATTACAACTATTACATTAAAATTGATTGTTTAAATTGCATATATATTTAATTACCAAAGATAACAAAATATACTTAATTATTTTCATATATTTCACAGGTTTCACTCTTTACATCATACCCAATTCAGGACAAATTACTCTTTGTTTATGCCATTTTATGACTACATTTATGGCACCACAGACAAGACCTCAGATCAATTACATTATTCAACAAGAAAACGACAAGAAGAAATGCCAGATGTTGTGCATCTAACACACTTAACTACTCCTAAATCCATATATCATCTCAGATTTGGATTTGCTTACCTAGCCTCGAAGCCATACACACCAAAATGGTACCTTTGTTTGATGTGGCCAGTGACAGCTTGGTCTATGATTCTTACATGGGCTTATGGCCGTACATTCATTGTGGAGCGAAATAATTTTGACAAACTCAAGTTACAAACTTGGGCAATACCCAAATATAAATTCCAAGTAAATATTAAAAATTTCTTTCTTTGTAATTAAATATGAATTTACTTTGCCAATTTCATATATAGACATTTATTCAAAACCATTTAGTATTTAAAATTAAATGGAAACATTACTTTTTTGTTTGTTTGAAAATGTCTTCATAAAATCCTAAAGAATATTGTATGAAGTTGACATGCCTATATATAACTAACAAGTTGTTTGACTGTTCTTATATTTTATTTTGTATCATCATTTGAGTGATTGTTTATTTTAGTAAAGTTTTAATATAGTTATATGTGATCAATGATATATTATACTTATATGGTGGTGTAAAATAATAATTTATATAACTATGCAATATTTTGTAGTACATTTCGCAATCGCAAAAAATGACCATCAACAAAATGATAGAGGAAGCAATACTAGATGCAGATAGAAAAGGCATAAAAGTGTTGAGCCTAGGCCTTATGAATCAAGGAGAGGAGCTTAACATCTATGGAGGGCTATATGTTAATAGGCATCCTAAGCTAAAAGTTAAGGTTGTTGATGGAAGCAGCCTTGCCGTTGGTATTGTTCTTAACAACATTCCTAAAGGAACAACTCAAGTATTACTTAGGGGAAAACTCACTAAGGTTACTTATGCTCTTGCCTACACATTGTGTCAACAAGGCATTAAGGTCGGTTTTACACACATATAAATAAATAGACAGATAGATAGAAATTTAGGCTTATTAAATGCCTCTAATTTTGATATCATAATTAACTATATTTCAGGTTGCTACAATGCACAAGGATGATTATGGGAGACTTCAAAGTTCATCCAATAATTTTGAAACTAATTTGATCATTGCAAAAAGCTACACCCAAATGGTAATATAACAAAATTTTCCTATAGTATTTTTTATAGCATACTTTACTAAAAACAACTTCAAGTTAATCATAAACATTTATGTAAAAAAAATGAAAAATAATTCTTATAATAATTTCACCTTGATTTTCTTACAACATTGTCAATAATGACAAACAAGGTTTTCATTCCTTCGATTTTTGATCTTAGTTTTTTTTATATTTTATATATATATAGACTTGGTTAGTTGGAGATGAACTAACCGAAGAGGAACAATTGAAGGCACCCAAAGGAACATTATTTATTCCATACTCACAATTTCAACCAAAGAAATATCGGAAAGATTGTTCCTATCATTGGACTCCAGCAATGTTAATTCCCAAATCTATTGAAAATGTTCATTCTTGTGAGGTTTGTTTAGATCATTGTTTAATTGATTCAATCATTCTATTCAATTGTGCATTATGGACAATTGCATTATGTTTTTTACTATTCCAAGTGGAAAAACTTTAAACATTATACATATATTGCAGAATTGGTTGCCAAGGAGGGTAATGAGTGCATCACGCATAGCTGGAATATTGCATTCTTTAGAAAGTTGGAATGAACATGAATGCAACTACACAATGCATAGCATAGAAAAAGTTTGGGATTCAGCTCTTCAACATGGATTCCGACCTCTTACTATGTCAATCCAATAGTTAATTCATTGTTAATAAACAATGGACAAATTAAATAATTAATTTCTTTTCCTGCCTTATTGTAGCTCTTCGAAAGGTATTAACATTTCCTTACGAAGATTATCATATATGTTAAAATAAGTTTTAGTATTTTATTCAGACTTACTATATATATTTCCATTAAAAAATAATGAGACATGTATAAGCAATCATGGTTCCTAAGAATAATTAATCTTGGAAATCATTATTTTCAAGAATGATTAAATCTATTTGATTGGTCATAAGTATTTTTAGAAATGTTTATAACTGTTACTTGATAACAAATATTTAACTACATTAATTAAGAAAATCATGTTAATGAAATATTTTTATCAAAGTAAAACATTCTTTTTAAACTCAGAAATGTTAGATTCTCATTTATCCCATGAGAATAATTTGGTGAAAAACTTGTATAAAAAACATTTTCGGGAGACTATGTTTCATAAGAATATTATTTTTTAAGAATGTTATTTTTTAGATGATAAACTAAACATGGAAAACTAACCTATTCTCATATTCGGATTCTTAGAAAAATAAAAACATTTCAAATACCAAACAATTTAAAAAAAAAAAACACCGTCCATCAGTATTAATAAAACTAATTTGAAATACAATATTGGAAGGTTAAGGTTATAGAATTTAATTAAAATGTAACAAAAAAAAAATACTACAATTTTTTTTTCTTTTACCAACATTTTTTTCTTAAAAGTTAAAAAATGTCGCTATAAGTACATTGTACAACGATTTAAAATTGATGAAAAAAAAATTATGTAAGATTTTTTTTTTTTACCAATATTGAATAAGTGTTTTCTTATGTCTAAATGGGACAATTTTTAATTGTTATTACGAGGGCGTTAATTTGTTTCAAGTTATAATATTGTGTTTCTAGGAATACATTCGCAAAAATATTATAACTAAGAAGGCTATTTATGTCAACATTTAAAAATATATATATTTTTTTTCTTTTAACATTTCTAAACATATTTTTAAAATTTTGAAATGATAAATTAAAAGTAATAGTTAAAATGGAATTTATAATAAGGTTAAAATAACTTTCACATTCCCATAAAACTTTTTTCCCCTCATGGTGACAATAGAAATGAAGCAAGGTGTAAATATTACTTTCCAGGTAATGATGAATACCCAAGAATATCATTTTAACACTCATAATAAACATGAAAATACTAATTTCCAAATCTACGTTCCCTTAAAATATAGTAATTGTTCTCATATATATATATATATATATATATATAAACTAATTTATTATAAAGGAACTTAACCACTGCACCCCAACATATATATATATATATATATATATATTAAGGAACAATTTATAGTTTTAGCATTATTTTTAATTTTTTCACAAGAGATTACTTTTTTTATATTTATATTGTTGTCATGATTTTTAAAATATTATTTTTATTATAATTTTTCTGATTCAAATTGAACAACATAATATTTCTGACACTACTCTTTTGTTACTCTTCCTTCTAAAATGAAATACGATATTTAATATTACTAATTTTAAACTAATAAGTGAAAAACTGATGAAACCATATTTATTAAGATATAAGCAAAAAAGAGAAACCCTTAGCAACATCAATGTTCAACAATTATATCACATTCTCCACAACCTGATCTCATGAACTTCATAGCTCGTTGATGCAAGCCAGAATCTGTCAAAATCCAAACGACAACAAAATTCAAAAGTAAAGATTGTGTATGGAAAAAGAGACATTATAAGGGGAGGGGTTAATAGTATCACTAATTTTTTCACCTCTCAAACTTTAGGCAGACCATACGAACCGATGATTGTTATCCATATAGTAAAACAAACTGAGATAGGGAGATAAGAAAGATCAACGTAAGAGTTTTTACATTGATTTGTCCCTATCACTAAGATTACTTCAAGTTCTTGATCAAACAAATCAAGTTCCAATGTAAACAACTCTACTTGTAAACAAGTATTCTTTTAATAAGTTGCTATTGGCTCAACTAAGAAAAATCTCAAGTATTATTTAACACAAAGGCACTTGTAACACCCTTTATTCCAAATACTCGCTTAATCAAATAATATAAAGAAGATAGGAAAATGAGTTCAAAATTAATTTTTTTTTTTTGAATAAACAAGGTTTGCAATTACCACTACAAGAAAACGATGAATAAGCGGCGAAAAATAAGCGTTGGTTAATAGCTGACGCAAATAGTGTCGGAAAAGCTGACGCTATTTTAAGATGTAGCATCGACTTTGTCGACACTAAATTTAAATTAAGTTTAGTGTCGGAAAAGTTGACGCTATTCTTTATATGAGCTCTATTTTATTTATGAGACATGATACATAATGATAATTTTGATTAGAGATATATAAGTAACTCTTATGAAATGTATTTTATTAATAATATGTTTGTATTATTTTAATATTTTAATATTTTTAATATTATTATTTATGAGAAGGGAAGGAAGGACGTGTTAGTCTTTTGATTATTATTTATTATTATTATTATTATTTATTTTATCAAAATAAGTTATCAGAAGTTATTAGTTTTTTATTTAATCACTTCACGCTCTCACTTCTCATTCCTTGTTACGTTCTCTCTTCTCTGTGCTCTAAAAAACAAGAAGAACCAGACTCTACTCATGCTTCGTTTTCTACTCATCAAGGTAAGGGAGAGTGAGAAACCTCACTCAGGAGTGTGGGAATAACTGTTGGGTGGCAGGATTGGCCCCCAACCCCTTACCTGATGTATGCCTATAGGAACAGACACTTTATGAAAGTTTTCTTTTTTGCTTTCTGATTGTTCTGTTGCGTTCCTTGTTTGATTCTGAGTGTAAATGTGCGTTCAATTTTGAGAATAAATAATTTTTTTATATGAATTAAAGTGCTTTATGGGTTCCTACGAGAAATCTTATGAGAAATAGACAAATTTTGAATGTTTTCTGTTTTAGCTTTTGAGTTTTCTATTGTGTTCCGTGATGATTACTGAGTATGAATGTATGCTTAATTTTTATTTGAAATACGTTTTGATATGAATTAAAGTGCTCCATGGATTCCTATGGGAAACCCTATGAGAAACAAACAAATTTTGAATGTTTTATTTTTTGGCTTCTGAGTTTTCTGTTGTATTCCCTGATGATTACTAAGCATGAATGTATATTTAATTTTTAGTTTGAATATGTTTTGATAGGGATAAAAGTGCTCTATGGGTTCCTACGGGAAACCCTACGAGAAACAGGTAAATATGAACATTTTCTATTTTGATGTTTGAGTTTTCTGTTGTATTTCTTGATATTTGCTAAGTGTGAATATGTGTTTAATTTTAAAAACAGATAAACTTTAAGCCATGTTTGAAGGTGCTAATGGTGTGAGAACTGCCTTATTATTGTGTTAATGCAAGTGATGTGTTTCTATGAACATGATGCGAATGAGAATCTCTTATATGTGACCTTGTGACTATGAGTATGAGAAATGTGAAATGTGAACAAATGACATGAGACATGATGTGATATTATAAGTGAAATGTTAAGTCCATGAGTTTGTGAATGTGTGACATTCATCATATGCATTTATGTGTGGGGGTACAATATGGTGTACACCGTTAGGGAAGGCCTTCTAAATGTGAAACATCTCTGATACCACTTGATGGAGTAGTTCCTTCCATGGATGATGATAGTGGTTGAAAGGAGACTCCTTGCCCTTGATCTAGGTTCACCAAGGGGTAGACAAAGGAAGGTTTTTGTGGGACAAAAGGGAGATGGGTGTGAAAGGAGGTGTTGGGCGGAAGTGTTTGGTGAAATGGTGTTTGGTGCTCACAAGGTTGGCTCACTCCAAGTGTAGGTGGAGGCCACTCTAGGGTTTCACTCTCCAAGGGTGGAGAATGAAGGGGGCTAGCCGAAACTAACCTAGGGACTAAGGATAGATTTTGAGGCACAAAAGGCTCACTCAATATCATATAATCCAAAGTATTTACATGATGCATAGCCTAGGGTATTTATAGGAGGGGAGGCATCTAGGGTTGCATTTGGAGTAGGAAAATGCATTCCAAATGAAATGCAAATGAACCCTAGATGCAACTTGGTGGCCAAGGATGGAATCTTTGGGTTTAGATTGGCTATATCTAGGTGCATGATAAGACCATGCAACCTTTGCCCTCCACTTGGGCCTAAGCCTTTCTAACACCAAAAATAGGTCCAATGGTCACCAAATATGCGTCACCCTTTTAATGTACACCCTAGCCCAAAATTAAAACCCTAATCATCTAAAGCACCCCATAATACAAGGGTAAAATGGGAAATACAAGAGAAAATAAATCCTATGACTAAGATACCCCAAAATACAAGGGTAAAATTGGAAATACAAGTAAAATAAATTCTATGACTAAAATACCCCAAAATACAAGGGTAAAATAGGAAATTAAAGACAAGGGCAAAATAGGAATAAAGAAATAAATGCTATAAAACTTAGGAGCTAAGGTCCAAAAATGGCCTTACTATCCCATTCCTCTTGCCTCCTTTAGTATATCTCCTCTTGGTCTTCTCGGCCTTAGTGTTATTCCATCAGCCCAGTTCTTCCCGTTTGTGTGCATGAGATGTATCTTGTGCGGCTTCGTTATCCCGACGAGACCCTAGCAGTACATCTTTCTAGTTGAGAGTGCGCGGTTGAGCTGACATGTACTCCTAGACTACTCCAGGTATGTTGCTTCGGTAGCATACCATGTGATATGTGATTATAAGACACGTGACTGGCCCCACATGCATGCATTTATGAGTTTAGTCCATGACATCATTACATGATAAATGAATGTGTATGTGATATTGATTGTGTATGTGTATTGTTTATATGTGATTTGCATGTGCTTGTGACTTGTATTATGTTTGTTGTGTGTGATGTCTAACAATTGTTTTTGCACCTGAACCCGAGTGAGATGTTTCTTACTCCCCTGTTTGTTTGTGTATGTTTAAAATTGTATTGTAGTTGATCATCAGCAGGGACGTTAGTGATGAAGCTTAGGCTTCTGTATTGGGCGTACTCTAATTAGGACATGTGACACTAAGGGATAAAATAGGATGTCCTTTTTTTTTTTTTTTTTACTTTGTAAATTGGATTAGTTGTATGTTATTTCGTTCATTAATTACAATTAAGTTTTCTATTGACTTAAGTGATTTTGATTATTGAATTACTTCATTATGAAAGTGTTTTAAGATGTGAATGTGAGCC